CATTTGTTTATTTAATAATTCTTTGTCCTCCGAGAACTATTGGCCTAGAAGTATGAAAATAAAAACTAACACATTAGATTTATCTGCTGACAAGAGGGGTTAAAAATTCTTAACAAAGTATCAAAGGAGGATTGATTATCTGGAGTTTCAAGGAAAATTTCCTGAAGATTACCCCAAGCTGAATGTTGCAGAGTCAAAAGAGTTTGGCCGATGAATAAGCATAGGAAATGTGTTAGAACATAAGGAAGGGCAGAGGGGAAGCTTAGAGGCCTAACAGCTGCATGTAAGCAGCTAAAGGGAAATGAGTTAGAGAGCCATACACAGAGAGAGCAAATGGCTGGACAGCGTCTCCTGGATGCCGCTCAGCAAGGTTAGAAGTCTTTCAGCAAAGGAAGCTACTGCCACACTTGCATAAAGTGACCACACGTGTTCTGTTTGTGTTCACATGTTTTAATTATTGTGTCGCAGCACAGAAGTCAAGCAATGTGCATCCCCTGACTTGCTCCTCTCCCTAGGGTCCCAGTCTCTGTAGGAGTCACAAAATTTGTCCAAGCATTGTTTCAAACTGCCTCATTTAAAACTGAAAATCAATTTTTTCGCTCTGCTCTGCATGCTGGCTGTCCTGGGATGTCTGAGAACTGTGTAATGCAGTCTATCAATTATAGAAAAAAATCAATTAAAAGTGTGCACAGATAATTTGCTTATGTTTTAATAACCTTTCATATCAATATAAGTTTTTACATACATACCAGTTCCAAATGGCTGTTTTGTGTTCAGTGAAGGGCATAATGAGCAAAAATATCAATATGAAAAATAATGATGTTCTGCCTCCTCGAGTAATTTCTGCCCGTGATGAATGTGTTTGAAAAGCCACTGTCCAGCAATTCCGCTCTGTACTGTCTTTCAACTATCTCACTTTCTACATTATATTTTGTTTTTCATTGACTATAAAATATTTTTTATTGTATTTGATCCAAATTTTTGTTCGGGAAGCGGAGAAAAATAAAATACTCCAAAGTAGCAGCCTCCAGACTAAAGAATTCCACCCTAGAAAGCTCCAGGCACACTTCCCATCTGGTGGGTGTCATGAATCAGAGATTCATCATCTTCAGCTTCACTGTTTCTGCCAGTGATTTATTGCATATGCTGACAAGAAAAAATGTAAAGGTGACATCAAGATGATAAAGAGATAGTTCAGGAACCTCAACCTACCAAACAATTAAAACTCATTGGCAAAGAAAAGGATGCTACCTGGCAAAACACTTAATTAGTAGCTATCATATGAGAGTATTTAAAAAGTGATGCCTATGGCAAATAATCACACACTGGATTTTCCCAGAACAACTCATGTTTATGACCTATGGTCTTTGAATAATTATCGCCAACACCTATTCACTATCAAAAACATCCCAGTATTGATGATGAAATATATAATCATTCCATACACTCCTGCATAAAGCCATAGTAAAACACCTGTGAAGGAGAAATGAACATGCATTTGAGAAGTTTGATGACAGTGATTTATCTGTGTGCTGAACCTCTTTAACACAGCCCAGAAAACTGCCTTTTTTACTATATGTATGTTTTTCTTTTTTTTTTTTTTTTTTTTTTCGTCTTTTTGAAACAGGGTTTCCCTGTAGCCCCAGCTGGCCTGGAGCTCACTATGTAGACCAGGCTGGCCTCGAACTCACAGAGATTCACCTGCCTCTGCCTCCCAAGTGTACTATAAATATTTTTAAAGCATTATTTGTACACCAGGCCTCAAATATAAAACTAGTAACAGATCAAGTGAATAAATTGTTAATAATTCATTGTCTCTTGGTTCTTTAAGGAATAACTGTTTTATCTAAATCCTTTTGATTAAACACTTTGATTAAACTCTGGTAAAGCTGAGGCCAAGTGTGTCACGGTCCCTTCTGCTTCCTCCTGACACTCAGCTGCCTCTTACTGGCTTGTTCCTGAGTCTAGCAGCTGCCCTTGATGTGTTTTCCTTTGGAGGGAGTCGCAGGCATGTTACAATATCTCCTACCATGTATCTGGCGCTGTCCTAGCACTTTCCTGGCCTTTCATGCTAGCAGGCCCAGATGGAGTGAATCATTTGTAGGGCCCTAAACTTATCAAGCTACTTCCATTCTCCCCTTTCTTAAATTGCACTTCCCTTTCCACGTCAGAGGTCAAATTCACAGTGACGTTTCCATATTCATCTGACAAGACATATGCTTGGGAAATGTAGCTGCTGGTCAGAAACCTGGCCTTGCAGCCTGTTTGCCTCTGTCCTGCAAGGTCCCTGCATAATGATGATGTTCTTTATTTTCTCTTTATCTTTACAGATGGTAGGTAGTAATGCTTTCCTCATACCGTGCCTCTGTTTAACCCTCACCCTTTATAGAACACATAGAAGTCCTTCTGCCCACCGTGATGCTGGGTTTCTTCCTGGCACTTGGATGTCTTCACCATATCAAGTGCATACACTCCAATGTGTCTGTATCTGGTACACTGTTATCTTGCATTTCTGTCCCAAAGAAACTGCAATGAAATCACAAATTCAATCCCTTAATGAAAGCTAAATTTACATTGAAGCAAAGTTCAGGCGATTTATAACTGTGTCGGAAATGGCTTTCTTCTAAAGAAAACATTTTTTGAAATAAGAAATGATCCAGGGAATTAAAATTAGTGACCTGTAGCATTAGTGCCCATGTATTAGTGTCCTGGCAAGTTACTTACTTGAGTAGCTTGAGGGCGATACATGAAAGAGCTGGTCTAAGAAAAGAGCCACTTGACTCCTGACCAGCAGGATCCCTCAATGCCAGCTCTCTAGGATACGCCTACCTCAAATAATGATGCCACCCTATGTTCCAAAACTCAATGGAAAACCCAGATTCAACATTTTTAAAATATAGAAAGGTGTGTGCTGATTTGCAATTTGCCGTATCCTTTCTTTGTGCTGATTAAGATGCCCAGCATCTGTCAGACAAAGATGTATAAAGTTTCAAGACAGCCACAAATAATAGCCATTTTCCTTCTGGTGGCTGCAACATTTCTAATTGTCAGCTTGGAAAACTACTTTAGTGTGTATCTAGTTTTTTCAAATTAATAATGTAACAGGCTATAAACATCCTTTTAAAATTCCAAGCCGTCTTATCTTGACTCTTCATTGTAATTGCTAGTCACCTAAGCTAGGTTTTCTCTTTTTCTCACAGGTTTCTGTCTCACTACATTCTCATGCGTCCTTTATATGATCTCCTCCAATAATTAAGGCATTTCCTCTGCCCGTTTCTTTACCTCAAGTCTGCAATCATTTTCAGCTTGGACAGGGCTGTCTCTCACACCCTAACTTCTCTCCCATGTACCCTCAAAATTCATTTTCTCACACTCTCAGCTGAGTAGCATCGAAGTTACCACAAGCCTGCCCCATACCTCTGCATGTTGCTTTCAAACCTCTCTACCCCACACAACCCCATTTGATTTTCCAACAGAGATTTTGTCATATTGAAGGATTGCAGGTGTCAGAGTCACACAGAGCAGCCTGTTACCCTTCATCAATCATCACTTCTCAAAATACGATAGACTCTCCCATGGAAGTTAAAGAACACTCAAAGATAGTTAGCTCTCTTAAGAGGACTATGCAACAAGCAGCTGTCCTTTTATGCCCCTCTATAGTGTATAAATATTGTAAGTTTATTTGTAAAAAAAAAAAAAGC